ACATGGCGGCTAGAATAAAAGTTATGCCTTCTTTGTTTGCGTATACATATGGGCGGTGTTTTTGCAAATCTTCCCACACAGTGACATAGATATGTGGGGGCGTGTTTGAACGAAGCGTTTTAGGAAGGCATGGATGAGCGTTCACTTTTATAAAGAATATCTCTTTGGATTTGAGACTTTATCTTCGGTTATGTACTTGCTCAAATATTGATTTTGGATAATGTTTAACCAAAAAAAAAAGTTACGGACTGCAGCTTTAAATTATCAAAATTTTATTTTTTACTTAACACTACAGTGGTAATATATTGCTGTCTTCATTTCTAAACATTGTTTAAATAATAATAATAATAATAACTATTAAATATATGTTTTATTTAACAGTACAATGGTAATATATTGCCATTTAAATTTTTAGAACAATTAATTTTAAATAATAAAGATGATGATGATAATAAACTCTGCAGGACATCGGCCCACCAGGACCGAGTTTGGGCACCTCTGATATACACACAAAATAATTAGCATTTATTTTGTTGAATGTTGGAAATCTTACAGAAAAGTTCTTTTTCAAACTGTGAAAGGCTCCATCACAGAATGATGTGATGTACAGATGAACGGTCTCTCTGTACCTCTTAATGGAGGCAGCGTCTGGCCGCGGGTCCGTCTTCATGGTGAGGTAGACCGCCAGTGCCGTCTGGTCGATGTGTGACAGTACTGTATCCGCTGCAGCTGCAATCTCCGGCAGGCGCTTCAAACGCTCCTGGGGAGATAGAAGAGTGTCCATCATACGAGTCTGTGTGACCGATGCCAGAATGAGCTGTATGTGTGAGCCGTACCTTCTCGGAGTCCAGCTGATGGAGTCTCTGAACATGCAGTGGCAGGTGTGTGGGGAACACCTCCTTCAGCTCCTCATACAACAAGCTGTTATCCAACCTGAGGACAGCAGTGAGTACAGAGTGATTCCCAGATCAAAACAGAGTTAATGAGTGCGAACCAATGAGTGTGACTGACTTGATCATCCACTGGATCTTCAGGTCTCGCAGCGCTTCGGTGAACTCGTCCTTCATGTCTTTCTCCTTCTCTGCATCCTTCTCCTTCTCTTTCCCATTCTTGTTTTTGTTGGGAGAAGGAACCAGGTGGTAAAAGACTGGCACCATATCCTGCATGAGAGCGACACCAGAGATGTGACTGCTGAATCACATTATCCACAATCCCTCAAATCCATCTGCACTGTCTGTTCGTGTAGATGAATGCAGCTGACTCTAACATCATCATGGGAAATACATTAATAAAAAGCCAGACTAATTTCCTATCATCATTTTTGAATTTGTCAAACAGATGGCAACAAATAAATGACTGACATGAGAAATAAAGGCTGTGTGTGTGTGTGTGTGTGTGTGTGAGAGAGAGAGGGCTGGGCGGTATGATGATATGCGTATATTCTGCTTTGCCTTGGTGGGCTAGCCTGCTGACATATTATTCACATCAGTGATTTTCAAACTTTTAATATTACTATTTAATATTTAATATATTATTAATTAATATTACAAAGAGTAAATTGATTTTGGAATAATAATAATAAACAACAACAACAATTATTATATTCATTTATTATATTTATTTAATTATTATTATGAATAATAATAATTTTAATAATATCCAAATTCTGGAATTTTGTGTTTCCAGAAACACTGTAAACAATAGTTATTTGGGGGGGGTAAACTTTTTTCTTTTTAACATTTTAATTTAGAGTGATTTTAATATATTAATTTATTAACTTAAATACTTTTAAATCATCCTGTGGCCCCTTTGGAAATTTACTGAGGCCTCCTGGTTTAGAAACACTGATTTACATTATTGAGAGCGATGAGTCACTTGATTAAAGTCCATTAAAGGGGTCATATGATGCGATTTCAATTTTTCCTTTCTCTTTGGAGTGTTACAAGCTCTTGGAGAGGAGAAACAATAATGTACAGTATGTGGAAAAGAATGCGTTTTTTGAACCTTAAACCGCATAAACACATTTCATTACACCAAATACACAAAATAATGTTCTTTTTAGCAACATCATATGACCCCTTTAAAATCAGAATAAAAACAAAAAAAGAATAATTTAATTTGCTGGATTATCAAAAATAGACATTAACACGTGTTTACTGAATATATAATTTGCAGCAAAAACAATATATTGGTCATGCTGCCCAGCACTAATGTGTGAGTGTGAATTTAGGGTTTGTTTGTATTATTCACATAATATTGTCATTAAATGGCTCATTTAATTGGACCCCTGCAATATAAATATGATATTACATGGCAGAAGTTCTGGTCTTTCTCTACCCGTCCAGTACCTTTTTAAATTTTCCTTGTCGTTTGGCTGATGCTTGTCCCTGCTGGTCAGAATAACACACATCAGAGAGAGAATCTCACACACACACACACACACACATACACACACACTCTGTCCTCACTATACTCTGCTCTCTACTGCTTCACATCATCATGATTCACTGCAAGGTGCAGCAGTACAGTTGACAATGACAGGATGATTATATACAGGACAGTGACAGTAAAAACCCCAGTAAATGAGCTCTTAAACTTGGACAGACAGACAGAAAGCCCACTGAAACGGTGCTTGACGCTCTGTGGACAATCTCAGAAGACAGATGTAAATGAGATGCAATGTAACTTGCTCTGGAGAACTCAGCTCACACTAGTCAGATTGTTCACCAGCACCATGACAGTGGAAAGGAATAAAGCTAATAGACACGCTTTTGTTTTATAGTGCTGTTTCTTGTTATTGGACTCGTAACAAGCTTTAGACAGCATCTCAAATCATCTGGAGGCATTGTGAAGCACAGAACACAATGATCAGAGTCTCTGGATGAGTGAAGCATGACGACACCAGCTGATCAGACAGAGAACAGAACCAAACCAATACTGAACACACGCGAGTAGGGGTGTGCGATATGTACAGTCTATGACAAGATCATAATAGTTGTTTAAACAATGTGGAAGCTGACATTATTGAGTCTGTCAATCACTCTGCAAAATAAAAAAAATTAAATAAAATTCAATATATGGGGCCAAAATGTTTATATTTATATATGATATAGTTAATATCACAAAAGCAAGACAAGCTGTTTTTCTTGATATATCTGCACAATTGCAAATGTGATATTGATTTTAAACAGTAAACAAGACGACAATATTTTGAGTTACAACCAGAGCTACAATAAATCAGTCTTTTGGAATGAATTAATAATTCAATAATCGATTCATAAAGACGTCACTTGCTTCGTTCATGAATGAACCAGCCGTTCGTATGAATCAGTTGAGTCAATGATTCAACGACTCCCTCATTAAGACAGTGCCTTGCTATGTTCATGAATGAATCGGCTGTTTGTACAAATCAATAGAGTGAAATGATTCAATGACTCACTTAAGACACTGAAGTATCATTTCACTTAAAAATAAAATCATTTCATATTTCAATATTCAAAATCTTATTTTTTAGAACATTATTTATGCAATTGTAATTGCAGTGTACATACTCCTAAACAGCTTCAGATGTAGATTCTGTGCTGCTTCTGCAGTGCAAAGATGGATTTTGTTGATACTGATTTCATTTGATTTTAACAGTCTATAAGGTCTTATTCAAATTGAATTTATGTAAGAATGTAAGAATTTAACGTAAAGGATGATGCATACATCTAATTAAAGGTAAAAATGCCCTGGAATTTAATTTAAGGTGGCAAATGACACCCCTCAGTTAAAATGTTTCTGTCACTGCAGTGAACAAAGCACTGCAGAGAATATGACAAATAAGAAAAGCTTTGGGAGTCAGCTGACACGACAGACCAAAAACACACACAGCAAAATATTGTCTAATTATCATTATAGACAAAATGGCAGACAATGTTAAGTTGTCATTCTTGTCAATATCGCAAACCCTCACACGTGAGAGAGACTGAGCGATAAAAACACAAGAAAACGCAGCTGCAGCATCAGGACCGCAGAGAAGCAGCTTGCAGATCTACAGACGAGCCGAATGAACATTGGGTTTGAAGAGACTGGCAACTCACTGCTTTTTTGCCGAACTCACTCTTGGGCAGAACCAGAGAGCCAGTGATGTACCCGCCTGGACCAGCACCTTTAGGGATCCTGAAACACAAAGACAAACATCTGCATCCTCTGATGGCTCAGATCTCAACAGCAGCGGCTGGATGGACACTCACTTGTCGTCGGGCAGGGCAGTGATGTAGAAGGGCTGTGACGCACTGGGGCTCAGCGTGATGGAGTTGGCCTTCTTCTTGGACAGCATGGCAGCGCGGTGCGTCTCATAGATGTCCAGCGAGAGCGTGTTGGAGAGACGGTGAGACACGACGAACGGCAGGTCCTTCAAACGTTCCAGCTCACTCTGCTGCTCATGACGCACCTGCAGACGCACCGTGTAGTCGCCCTTCTCCAGCTTCAGAGAGTACTGCCACAGAGGAACAACATCTCAAATAAATACTGCAGGGTATAGTAGGTGTTCCCAACCTCTGCATGTTATTGCAAAAAATTAAAACTGACTTTTATAAGATGAGAAAGTGTCCTGTTCTGACAGTTTATTTATTTATTTAAAAAATATCCTTTTTTACCTCTCAGTACAATGGTAATATTGCGGTCTTAATTTGTAAAAGTTTCAATGAATATGCATTAATAACAATAACAACAACAATAATAATAATTAGACTTCATGGTGAAATTGTGCAGCCCAATTTAGCAGAAATTGTGTCGAATGCTGGAAATCTTAAAGGGTTAGTTCACCCAAAAATGAAAATTCTGTCATCAGTGGCTCTACAATAATTTTATGAAGCGACGAGAATACTTTTTGTGCGCAAAAACAAAACAAAAATAATGACTTTATTCAACAACCTCTTCTGTTCGGTGTCATTCGGCGGCTCATTATTGGACGGCTCCTGCATCAGCATCACATGCATGCGTCGCGCTGCTCACATGTGCAGCTTTGGCCAATAATGAGCCGGCGTTCAGACGTAGAGCACGGAAGCCTTCACTGTGCTTACTGCGTTAACCGCGTAAGGATAATGACAGGGAAGAGAAGAGATTGCTGAATAAAGTTGTATTTTTGTTTTGTTTTTGCGCACAAAAAGTATTCTCGTCGCTTCATAAAATTATTGTAGAACCACTGTAGGTCACGTCGACTGTTTTAATGACGTCTTTAATACCTTTATGGATCTTGAGAGTTTGGGTGGCGTTGCTGTCAATGGAGGCCTCTCTGAGCCATCGGATTTGATCAAAAATATCTTAATTTGTGTTCTGAAGATGAACGAAGGTCTTAGGGGTGTGGAACGACATGAGGGTGAGTAATTAATGACTTTTGGGTGTACTAACCCTTTAAAGAAAAGTTATTTTTGAAACTGGAAAAGGCTCCATCACAGAATGGTTTTAATTTGATAAATTATATTTAATTACAACTTTTCTTTAGTTTGATTGTGGCTTAAGTATTTCTATCACAATCTGAAATCACATCATAAAACCTGCAGTTTGGCAGTTTTAGGTCATCATGTGATCATGTTAAGGTTGTGCAGCAGGTCAGTGGTGTTCTGCTTACCTGGTGTGGGTAGGCGTCTCCAGAGCCCATGAGTCTCTTGTTCTGGTCAAACAGGAGCCAGAGTTGACTGTCAAACTCAGATTCGTATAATAACTCACATAGCAGCGGACAGCTGGGCGTCACCTCGCCACTCTTAGGCTGAAAGCACAAGATCAGTAATGTAACAACAATCAATAAATCAACCATGCAAACACAGAAACACTGTGTAAACAAAATTATAATTCACTATCAAAAATGCATGGACATACAGGTATCATCACACTCACCTGATGGAAATTATACGTGAGAACGATCTCATAGAGCTGTCTGTTGTTTGGTAACACATCTCTAGCACCAAGGGGTTTTATTTTAGCACTTACAGGCCTGTGGAGGAGAAACACACACAGTAGAGAGATTAATCGTGCAGAAAGTAAACATTTGATTTGAAGGTTTCTAAAGTGTTCTTTTTGGAGCTCTTCATCTTAGGAAGGTGCTTTATGATCAAAGAGACAAAGAATTTCATATCCAACAACCCAGTCCCTACTTTATTTCTGGGCATCACTGAACATCATTCAGACAGTAAACGTGAATGTGTACACTAGATCAGGATGGTATGATGGTTTCAAAGGCTTTAGGAAGCTTGGGAAGACTTTGGCATAAGCGCGGGAAGTGGGGGTGCTGAGGGTGCTGCAGCACCCCGTTTTTTTCTGTGGGCAACTGTTTAACTGTTGGGAATAAAAAAAAAAACATCGGAGTGTCTATTTACACTAAGTGCAAATAGGCCGCCTTGTTGGCAGAGGCTATTTACACTTACTCTGCCCACCAACGTGTGATTGGGCTAGTCAACATTACAAAAGACGGTCATCAATCATCAGATTCAGTGGCATAGATGATAAAGCGTGTGTCATACTCCTTTTGACGCGATCGACCCGGGCTCGAATCTGCCTTTTGGCGAACTTTTTTTCTCCCTTTTCAAATTTCAAATCGCATCAGAAAAGCATTTATTTTTTATAAAAATGAAGGAAATCATCAAAAAGTTTCAAATAATGTATGGGGTAGGGTTAGGGTAGGTGTAGGGCTTTTGTCCCAATAAGGTGGCATCCATTTAATAATTTGAATTAAAGGAGACATATTATGCCCCTTTTTACAATATGTAATATAAGTTTCAGGTGTCCCCAGAATGTGTCTGTGAAGTGAAGTTTCCGCTCAAAATACTCCACAAATCATTTATTATATCATTTTGAAAATGCCTATTTTGAGTGGAAGCAGAAACACGCTGTTTTTCGGGCCTGTCTCTTTAAATGCAAATGAGCTGCTGCTCCCCGCCCCCTTTTCCAGAATAGAGCTGCGCCATTACAGCTCGGACCTCCTAAAAACATCTGTTATGGTTCTGATTATCATGTTTATCGCGCTGAAATCATGCGGTTTAAACCATATGAGTTTAAACTTCTGACATATGGTTTTCTGAGAGCACACATCCGAAGCACACGAACAGAAAGTGGCTGTCACAGGCATGTGAGTACTAAACTAAGCTCTCATTCACACACAAGTTTATGTTAAAAATACACGAGTTACAAAAACAGTCGGTTATGTCTGTGAAGGTAAACTGCTGGGAAATAAATCGCATGTTTATTTTAGATCTAAATAGTGTTCTGTGCTGGTCTGTGCAGACAAAGGCAGAACAGTTAGCGTGTTTTGCTCAAACTTTCGCCATGGCATTAGAGCTGGTACACCGGCATTTTTTTTCACAACACAAAATAAGCAGACATCAGATGAGTGAAACTGAGATGTTTCTGCACATGTATGTGTTTACCTGAGAGGCTGAACCCAGTTCTTTAGCGTGATTGTTGGAGAAACATCTTCATATCTCAACGGAGAACAAACCTCAAAACTAGAAATCCCTTCAGAGGCATGCTACATACAAAAACACACAAAAAACAAGAGCAATTAATGAACCTGACACATGCTGCTGAAAGTAAAACCATGAAACTAAGGGACCTAAAGAAGTTTGCAAAGTTAGTGGTCAGTAAGACTTTTTAATGTTTTTGAAAGAAGTCTCTTCTGCTCACTAAGGCTGCATTTATTTGATCAAAAATACCATAAAAACAATAATATTATGAAATATTATTACAATTTCAAATAGCTGTGTTCTATGTGAATATATTGTCAAATGTAATTTATTCCTGTGATCAAAGCTGAATTTTTGGCATCATTACTCCAGTCTTCAGTGTCACGTGATCCTTCAGAAATCATTCTAATAGGCTGATTTGCTGCTCAAGAAACATTTCTGATTATTATCAATGTTGAAAACTGTTGTGCTGCTTTATATTTTTGTGTAAACCATGATGCATTTTAATTTCCAGGACTCTTTGATGAATAGAAAGTTGAAAAGAACAGCATTTATTTGAAATAGAAATCTTTTGTAACATTATAAATGTCTTTACTGTTACTTTTGATCAGTTTAATGCATCTTTGTTGAACAAAAGTATTTATTTCTTACTGACTCCAAACAGAAAGGTGCTGTTAAATACTAAAACCTGAAGATACTCACAATATGAAGAGGAGAGGGTGACGTCACCAGCCCATGGAAGGAAATGACATAATCAATGGTGACGTCACCGAGACTCGCCCACCAGCGAGCAACACAGAGTTCCAAAGTCCGTCCTGGCTGAAAAAGACACACACAGATGAACATGTGACCTGACAGACACAGAAAAACTAGGATTGAATCACATGTGTAAAATAACCACAGAAATAAATATATGAGAGTATGCGTATTTTGTACCAGCACAGGAAAAGCCTCCGTGAGTGAGCCTTTCTCCAGCAGAGATGAGAACTTATAAAACTCATTGGCTCGATACGCTCGCTGCTTCACCAGATGAACTGCATGCAGGACAAACTTCGACGACACATCTCCAGAGTGAGACGTTAATGAGATTTCTGAAAGAGACACGGATGCACTGAATAATTAGATCATAGATCTATGTCCGCACAAAACTGCAGTGATGCATCATTCATTCACACAAATATTACCTGCCCATGATGCTCCATGAGGGACGGTAATGAAATGGCGCCGGATCTGTCCTGGTCTGAAGTGGACGTCTGTGAGCGTGATCTCTTGACTGCGACTATCAGCTACTCTATAAGACACAAACACATGTCACACACCAGCAGAAACACAGATGCTAGCGGAAGAGAGCAGTTGGACGTACTTCGCAGGGATTATAACCGTTATAGGAACTCTGAAGAGAGGACCGGCGCTGAGAGCGGACGTGTCGTATCCACACACCTGGAAAACACACACACACATCGTCACAGATCAGGACAGTCAAATAGTGTATGCACATGGATGAGATCTGCGAACGTGCCTCAGTGTAGTGCAGACCCTCTCGCAGGCCCTGCGGGTCTATGCGGATGTTGACATGGCGGCACTGATTCATGAGCTCTAGGTGTGATGGACAGTGAACCCAGGCAGCGTTGCAGACGAGAGCCAGATGCAGCTGCAGCAAGATACGGGCCGCGTTCTCTGCAGAGAAAACATCACACAATCCATTACACATGGGTAAAAACTCACATACACATCCTAATGATGTCTGTTTCAGAAATTAAAGAGAAATGTCAAGAGAAATGATGGTCATAAATACACTACCGTTCAAATGTTTGGGGTCACTATTTATTCATCAATGACGCATTAAACTGATCAAAAGTAACAGTAAAGACATTTGTAAAATTACAAAAGATTTCTATTTCAAATAAATGCTTTTAATGCTTTTCAAATATAAAATCTTTTGAGCTTTCTATTCATCAAAGAATCCTGAAAAATAAAATGTATCACTGTTTCCACAAAAATATGAAGCAGCACAACTGTTTTCAACATTGATAATAATCAGAAATGTTTCTTGAGCAGCAAATCAGCCTATTAGAATAATTTCTGAAGGATCATGTGACACTCAAAAATGGAGTAATGATGCCAAAAATTCAGCTTTGATCACAGGAATAAATTACATTTTACAAATATTCACAAAGAAAACAGCTATTTGAAATTGTAATATTTCACAATATTACAGTTTTTAATGTATTTTTGATCAAATAAATGCAGCCTAGGTGAGCAGAAGAGACTGCTTTCAGAAACAATTTAAAACAAAATACCAATCCTAAACTTTTAAACAAAAGAGTTCAATCTAATAAAAAAGTATGACTGTACTAAATACTGGTTTATGCTGTACAATTTTATGAATATCAGAGTATCGCATCATTAGTTTTGCAACGTATTAACATCAAACTCTATAGGAATGAATTGAATCAAGTCTCTCATATGCATTTGTTATTTTAGTATTACAAATATACTATTATAGGATATATGTAAATTTGAATTAGATTTTATTTATATATTTTCTGTTTCCATTTTAATTTTATTTAATTTTTTTTATTTTATTTAATGTAATTTAGTTGTGCATTTTGCCATTTTCATTATTTTTATAATGAAATATATAATCTTATTAAGTCCCGTGTTTAGTTTATTTAGTTATACAAGTACGTCAACTTAAATTAAACACCTTGGCAACTAGCTAAAATAAAGTTTTCATGTTTTATTTTCTCTCAGGTAATGTTTATTTCAGTTAATGTTTATTTTATGAAAATATATATTTTATTTTAGTTAAAGGGGTCCTATTATGCTCTTTTACAAAGTCTTGATTTTGTTTTGGGGGTGTACTAGAACAGGCTCTCATACTAGGTTGTTCGAAAAACACATTATTTTTCACATATTTTACATTATTACAACACCTCTCTCCCCAGTCTGGCATGAACGGCTCGAATAGTTCCTGTATCAAATGAAGGCCCACCTTCTGAAATAAGAAATGTGCTGTGATTGGTTAGCTGGACCAGTGTGTTGTGATTGGCAGCACTCGGCACCTGGTCGGGAAATGTCATGCTCTTACCATAGCCGCTTGCGAACTTCAGTGTAAATATTGCGTCAAAATCAAATCAATTTGAGCACAATTTAAACCCAGATGATTGTAATCACGAAGTTCGTCTGCCTTGGGAAAGCTAGCATTTCTCCGACATAGTGATAACACTCGTTGCCTTCTCTAGTGCAGCTCAACCAGGTCTCGTCCCATTCGTCGATATTTGTGATATCACAAATCCCGGAAAATATGTGTTGTAGTCCAAACGAGTCGTTCGTTGTAGTTTTTGAAAAGTGATTTCTGTTAAATAAAATATCTCCTTTTGAAGTGGACTTTGAGCTTTGTAGATCTTTTTTATGCTCAAACAGCAACATTACAGACTAACTAAAGTTGAAAAAGTGAAAAAGCATAATAGGACCCCTTTAACGATAATAACCCTGGTATACGTGACATGAGGATCTATCAGAGCTTGTATTGAGTATTGAGTGTTCTAAATCAGACCAGGTCAAATAACAAACTGTTATTAACTTCTTGCTTGTTTTGGCATCAACCTGATTAAGCTTTCTCTCTAAAAATATTCTCCAATGCATTCAGCTCCACTATGAACTGCTGCGTGTACCTGTGTTCTCAGGAAACACAGGCTCGATGCCGACCCCATGATCAGATGGTGCAGTGACCTGGGTCGGGTTCCTGAGGTAGATGCCTCGCTGTGCTCCTACGGTCACTGTGAAGCCGAGGCTACTAGTAGGCAGCGATGCATGCTGCATGAGGTAGTCGAACGCCCGCTCCACCTGCGCATCACATAAACACAATCATGAACGCATGGACGTATGCATCATGAGCATCACTGCTCTGCTCCTCAGTACCTGAATGATGCCGTGGCCCTGCGCAAACACCTCTATATCCTCCACTTTCAGAGCCGTGTTCTCCAGAGCCCTGCGGACCGCTGGAACTGTGGGCCGAACGTCGTTCTGCTTCAGACCTGACAAACACACACACAACTCAGTATTTAGAGTACAAATGTGCGAGCTAGGAGTGTGCTATGCATCGTCTACAATCACATCATGATGCCACTCTCTTTGCCAAAATGCCCTGATAGCTCACGCTTTAACTGTGCGATGCACCCATTTTAATGCAGTTAGAACAACCCAAAACTTCAAGATATACGGCGCCATTTTTTTGCCATGAGTTTGGTCTTGTATCAAAACATTAAGCAATACCACACAAGCAACAGTGCTGTTTTCCAGAATATCAACAAGACTGTGAATGTCATTGTGGTTTTAAAACCGTTCAATAAACAAAAAGTTAACATTTTGCGCTACATTTTAGACAAATTTTTTGTCAATATTGGCAAAATAAAGCAAAAACAGACAATGAAAATGTCCTTATGAAACCACAGCAGAACTGCTTTGCGTCTCTGAGAAACACACAGAAGTGATTAATTACTGAATGAATCCATGTTTAATGAAGTCAGTTTTTATAAATGATTCAGTGGATGAATGAATCAGCCACTTAAAGGGTTAGGTCACCCAAAAATGAAAATTAGCCCATAAATTACTCACCCTCAAGTCATCCTAGGTCAGGTGTATATGACTTTCTTCTTTCAGACTAATCCAGTCGGAGTTATATTAAAAATGGTCTTTGATCTTTCAAGCTGTTTAATGCCACTCAGCGGGTGTTGCATGCATCCGTCCAAAAGCAGTTAAATAAAATGCGCGCATCCATTAAAAAAAAAGTGTCTCACACGGCTCAGGGGGGAGAACAAAGGCCTTCTGTAGCGAATCGATGCGTTTTTGTAAGAAAAATATCCATATTCAAAACATAATAATCACTTGAATCTAGCTTGCGCTCACCGTTGTAAACCGAAGCAGTTCCGGGGGAATGACGTATGAGGTCAGCTTTGCGCATGCGCCGCTCAGAAGTGATGCACGCGGAAGCACAGCGGAGAGATCAAAACAAAACAACGGTCACTAAGTAGAAGTACAAAACGAGGATTTATAAAGAAGAATGTCGTAGGATTTCGATATAAGCCAAGAGGAGACTGGTTTTCCTTTGCTAAAGTAAGGAAACTTTGCTTCCTTTGCTCCTGTTAACAAACGCTGGTTTTCACGAAACTCACTGGCGCATGCGCAGCGCTGACCTCATACGTCATTCCCCCGGAACTGCTTCCATGTACAACAGTGAGCGCAAGCTACATTAAAGTGATTATTACGTTTTGAATATGGAT